ACTACACCTGGGCATAAAAAAACACTTCAACGCGTGGAAAATCTTCGACGTCCACTCGAAGGAAATAGTAGCAGCACAAGACGTGATTTTCTACGAGCCACTTACTCTCCAAACGTACCTGGACAACTTGGCAGCAGAACGAGACCTCACGGGCGGCTTCCGTGGCAACCGAGCCTTCCTCACAGATCTCCTCGTGCAGGCTTCCTTGTAAGAAAGATGTGCTGAATTCAAGAGAGTGCAGCTCATAGTCAGGCTGAGCGGTGACGTGCAGCAACACCCGAAGAGTGGTCATCTTCGGGGTATGGGAAAAGGTCTGGAAGAAGTCAACTTCCTGTCGCTGACTGAAGCCTCGTATTACGTAACGAGCCTTGAAGACAGGCGGAGAACCCGACGGCCGCTTCACCCTGAAAATCCACATGCCATCAACTATATTCGCCTCAGAAGGGGGAACCGCGTCGACGTAGGTGCCTGTGGACTTCCAGGATGCCATCTCTGCGTCCATGGCTGTCTGCCACTGAGAGGAGTAGGGACCCGTAATCGCCTCTGCGTAAGAGCGCGGGGTCGGGATGTCTGGTGCATCCGGGTCTCCCTTGGTGCAAGCAGCATGGCCACGAGATGAGGTACAGCAGCTGCAAGACACTCAAAGTCCTCCTGCGTGTCCTCAAGGACGTCCGTGCCAAGAGCACACTCACCCCCGACGGACGGAGGACAGTCAGACCCAGACTCAGCGACAAGACTAGTGGCGTAGTTGAGATAATAGGCGGCAGCAAAGTCAACAAGCTGAGCAACTAGGGCAGACGCAGGAGTGGAATCAAATGAAGGGTCTGTGACAACAGTGGCTAGAAGATGAGGGACAGTAGGACTGGCAGCACGAGCTAAGTCAGACCCAGGGTCAGGAATGTTAGGAAGAGAGGATGCAAGAGGAGGCAGCAGGGGTTCTCGCAGTGGAACAGAGGAAGGACGAAGTGCCATAATGTGAGTGCCGGGGACAGGAGGAGGACGTGGACGAGGAAAACGACAGGAGGAGGTCCAGTGCGAACAGCGCAAACATGTGAGGCAGGACGAGACACAGGCTTACGACGCTCTGTAAGAGAGTCTGTCAGCTCAGCGTAGGGAGAAGGAGCAGGCAGTGGGGAGTCTGGCTGTAACTGTGGGTGCGATTGGTGAGGCGGTGGACACAGCAAGCTAGGAGTAAGGCCAGTAGAAGACGGGAGACTAAGAACCTTGCAAAGGACCGAGTCAGGTGGCGGCAGAGACGACAGCTGTGGTGTAATGAAAAATAGGCGCCGCTGCACAGTGCCTCCAGCACCACGACCGCCAGCTCCAGCACCCCCAGCGCAAGCACCTCCAGCTCCAAGGTCTCCAGCTCCAGTGCCTCCAGCTCCAGAGTTTCTAGCTCTAGCTTCTCCAGCTCCAGCTCCTCCAGCTCCAGTGTCTCCAGCTCTAGTGCCTCAAGCTCCAGGGTCTCCAGCTTTAGCGCCTCCAACACCACCAGCTCCAGCAGCTCCAGTTCCTCTTGTACGAGCACCTCCAGGACCAGCAGCTCCAGCACCTCTTGTACCCCCAGCTCCAGCAGTAACTCCAGCACCTCCAGGACTAGAAGCTCCAGCACCTCCAGCTCCGGTGTCTCCAGCTCCAGCGCCTCCAGCGCCAGGGTCTCCAGCTCTAGTGCCCCCAACGCCAGGGTCTCCAGCTCGAGCGCCTCCAACACCTCCAGGTCCAGCAGCTCCACTACCACTCGTACGACCACCTCCAGGACCAGCAGCTCCAGCACCTCCAGGTCCAGTGCCTCAAGTGGCAGAGCCTCCAGCTCTTGCAGCGCCACTCGCCCAACTGCTGCGATGAGAGAGGCTTTCGCCGGTGACACAGTAGTGGGGAGGCACCCGCAGGACCTCCGGCAGACACAGTACCCCTAGACTCAACACCCCCAGAATCCGCACCCTCAGACTCAGCACCCATAGGCTCCGCACCCTCAGGCTCAGTACCCCCAAGCTCCGCACCCTTAGGCTACTCAGCACCCCTAGCAACACCTGAGTCTACAACAACCTCGACAGGCACAGCTAGGGGGAGAGGGTCTACCTGAGACACACGTGAGGGAGCACGACCCTGAGAGGGGAGGGGGTCTACCGAAAGGGGACCTGGAGCGAGGAAGAGCGGCGGGGGGGGGAGAGGGGTAGTGCGGTAGGGGAAGAGACGGTAAAGGGGAACCGACTTGTCAAACGTGACGTCTTGAGAGGGGAGGACACGGCGCGAGGTGGGGTGGTAAAACTGCTAGCCCGGCGCGTCAGGGGGAAAGTTAAGGAGGACGCAGGGAATAGCGCGGGAGGAGAGCTTGTCCGCGGAAGTATCGCGAACAAAGGCACGCGAGCCCCAGACCCAAAACACCGACGCATCGCCAACCTTCCCCGTCCAACGTAGTGTAGGCGAGGTCTTCGGCAAGGAGACACAGGGCCAAAGGTTGAGCTGATGCACAGCATACTAGACCACAAACGGCCGCAGAAAATGGGGAGCAGCCGCATGGATCATGGAGGAACGAGCGACCTCCATGACTAAGCCAATGCGGCGCTCAGCAACCCCATTTTTCTGCGGGGAGGCCGGAAGCGTGAACGACGGGAGGATGCCCTCCCCATGACAGAATTCCCCCAAGAGGTCGGAGGAGAACTCACCACCTCTGTCAGAGTGCAGAAGCAGGACACGAAGGTTCTCATGGAACCGCTTGTGGAGCTGGAGACGGACTGTGCGGATCCAAGGGATCAAGACATCAGGGACCTCACCCTTGTTGCGCAAGGGGAAGACCGTGGTGTAATGCGTGTAGTCGTCAACAACCAGCAGGAAGTAGCACTCGCAGTCCTGTCCACTGACGCAGGCTGGGCCCCACACGTCCATGAAGAGAGTCTGCAGGGGAGAAGTCGTCGAGGGAAACGAGGAGGAGTGAGGAGCGGCGCGCTGCCGCCCCTCGATGCAAGGAAGGCAGGGTGGGGCAGGCGAGGGCGGGAGGGGAGGAAGAGACCTGGGAAGACCAGAAACAGGGAGGTGGGAGTGCATGCCACGAAGGCGTGGCAGGGAGGGGTGACCAAGGCAGTGGTGCTAGAGGAGAGTCTGGTGCGACAGGAGGCGACACGAGCAGGGGGCTGCTACAGAACCTAACGCGGACACCTGACCGGACACATCTACCTGAGGAGGCTCAACAGTCAGTGTGTACAGACTCGACCTAGGCCGACGGGTGAATGGGCCAGGTGATAGCCCGTCCATGTACACGTGTAGATCGGCACACGCTGACCCGCAAGAGTGGTGGTAGTGACCATCGCATCCTGGAGGGCAGCGGTACTCACCAAGTTCGTAGAGAACGAGGGGAGGTGAAGACCTGAGAGTGAGGGTGGTACTGTCGCGAAAGAAACAGCGGGAAGCACCTGAGTCAAGTGTGAAGGTGTGCAAGGCCTCAGCAAGCGCAGTACCAGGGAGAGCAGACTCACTAGCACCTAGAGCAGCAGCCTCTATACATGGGTCGGGCGGCACACACAGGTAACATACGGGCAGGTAACACTACCCCCAGACGTCCCACGCTGAGCAAACCACTCACGAAGCTGCTGGGGCATAGGGGTCTCGCTTTGTCGCCGCTCCTGCTACCTCTGGCCACCGCCAGAACCTCCCCGCTGAGTAGCTCCACCCGGTCCGCCACCACTAAAGCCGCCACCACCGCCATCCCCACCCCCACGGCTGCCACCACCGCCGCCACCGAAGCCCCCACTCCCGCCACCACTCCCACCGCTGCCACCACCTCCGCCACCTCCACCGCCTCCACTACCTCCAACAACACCACCACCCCCGCTGCCATTGCCACCACCCTTGCCACCCTTGTCCTTGCTGCTACGGCGCTTCCCACTAAGAGCAGAAGCAGCCCCGACATCCTCAGCACCAAGGATGTCAACATCAGCAGCAGAAGCGTAGGAGGGGGCAAGGGGGGAGGGGGAACACCCCTCAAAGAAGGGTGTGCGAGGAGTGCCACGAGCAGCACCTACAGCAACTACGCTAGTCTCAGCTGCAAGGAGGTGCTTCTCGAGCAGGTCGTCAGTGAGGTCTGTGGGGTCAAGTGCGAGAAAGTGGTCCCTGACAGCGCGAAGAGAGTTAGGGAGGCAGGTGACTATGAAGTAGAGAGTGATGTACATCGGTCGTGGGTTCCTGTCTAGGATCTCGGCCGGGAAGGCAGCGCGGTAGCGAGTGTCGCTAGTGCGAAAGTGGGTAACGAGTTCCTCGACTGTGGCAAAGGCTGATAGCTCGGGAAAGAGGTAGGGCAGTATAAGGCGGCTGAGAGCAGCAGTGGCATGGGTTGAGTAACGAGCAACTACAGTGTTGTACAGGGCTTTAGTAGTCTTGTGCTGGCCAAAGTGAGCGCGTTCAGCTAACAGCAGGTGGTTGCGAATGGCTAAGCGAGTAGCACCGTCACGGGTAAGCCACTGTGAGCGAGCCGCAGTGTCAGCTGTTGCGGGAGGGGCGAGAGAGGCTCCAGACATGTGACCAAACAACGAAATGCTGTCTCTAGAATCGCTCAGTAGGTACAGCTATAAGTTGTCGAGCCACGTATCGAAGTGGATCGGACGGCCCTCATGATCGAAGGTGAGAACACTAAGAGAAGCCATATCGGGCAGAGAAGGGTGGCGCGCGACCAGCAGGGCAGCACGCAGGCAGGGCGGCGCGCGAGCACTAGGGAAGCGCGCAGGGCAGGGAGAGGCGGCGCACTGCTAGGGAAGAGCAGTGCGCGGCCAAGGCAGGGCAGTGCAATGGCAGGGTAGGGCGGCGGCCAGTAGGGCGGCGCGTGGGCAGGGCAGGGCGGTGCGGCTGCCAGCAGGGCGGTGCGCGGGCAGCAGGGCGGCGCGCGGGCAGCAGGGCTTCGGCCAGCAGGGCTGCACGCAGCAGGGCGGGCAGCTGCAGGGCGGGGCGGGCAGGGCAGTACAGGCAGCGGTGCGGCTGCCAGCAAGGCGGTGCGCGGGAAAATTCACATGTCACAGCCTCTCGTGCCACGTCTCCCAATCAGCCTCACCACTCCCAGATGAAGCCTTTGCCCATGCAGCTGTCGCATCCACACCAGCAAGCACCTCACCATGTGGCTCCTGTGGCTGCTGCACCTTCTTGACTGCATCCAGAGCCCCATCAGATGGTGCAGTCTCCTCTCCTCCTGCAGTTGCCTTTGCCGTTGCTGCTGCCGCTGCCGTTGCTGGTAGTTTCCCGTTCCAAGGGATAATGGGCAGCTACCATAGGTCCTTGATACAGCTGCTCTTCTCCTCCAAATCCCACAGCAGCAATTTACCAGGCTTTGCACGGCAGCTGGTTGGACCGAAGGTAACTTTAGCCTTGCTCTTCTGCAGTCGGCACACAGAAAGAAGGTTAGCGGACAAGCCTTCAACCAACAGCACATTCCCCAGCCCCACAAGCCCTCCATTGGCTCCCATTACCTTGGCATTCCCAACACCAATCACAGGGAGCAAAGCACCTGAAGCGGCAGCCACAAACTTAATCTTTCCGGGGGGCTTTACCTCGTCAAGCAAATCTGCCCGTGGGGTCATGTGACTTGTGCAACCTGAATCTATCACCCAGTGAGTGAGGGGGTGCATCACAAACTTCCCAACTGAGCCCACATCACCTTCACTCCCTTTCACATCCTCAACCATGAGGAACATCCCAGGGTTGGCTTTACCATGTGCACCATCACCTTGTGCACCTGAACCTTGCACAGCGCCACCTCGTGCACGTTCACCACTTGGCGGCTTCATGCCTGGGGGTGCCCATCCCTCAGGCCGGCTGAAACACTTGAACCACATGTGTCCAGCCTTCTTGCAGTACCAGCACGCTCCCTCCATTCGGGTACTCCCCCTGCCACCAGAGCTCCCATGCCCCTCATTATAGTCACCTCGGCCTCTCCCTCTGCGAAAGCCTCTCCCACAGCCTCGGCCTCTCCCTCCCCCTCTCCCTCTGCTGCCTCCTGCAGCTCCATACCCCTCAGCAGTTTTGTTGGCAGCACCACCACCCGTGTGGCGCCTGCGGAAGTCCTCTTGCAGAATCTGCTGCCGTAGCCACTCAGGTGTCCACTGGTCCTGCTGAGTGTTGAGGGTGGGGATGAGGTTGTCCCACGAGTTGTCGAGCACCGAGATGATCTTGGTGCACTGCTGCATCTGCGACACATTGCTGCCCGCCGCTGCCATCCTCGCATAGGTGTCCTTGATCTTGTCAAGAACCGGCTTCACATCATTGCCCGGTCGCATGGAGAGGGCAGCCAGCTCCTTCTCCAACACAATCACCATCGGCAGCGTGTTGGGCTGAATCACGTCGTGCAGTAGCTTCCATGCCTTTGGTCCGGAATCATCCAACTCCACCAAATCCTTGATGTGTTGGAACATATCGTTGTTGATCGATTGAAGGATTAGGTCGTACAGCACCGCACTCTTCTCAATCCACCGATTGCGGGCATCTCCTTCCTTCGGCATCTTCTCTTCTCCCATCGAAAGTTTCAGCAACTTGTAGCGCTTGAATGCACTCCGCATCCGCCCGCTCCATTCTTCATAGTTGGAGCCATCCAATGCCTCGATCTTGGATGGTGGCGGCTCATTCCTCTTCTCAGATGCATCTCCACTCCCTTGACTCATTTCCTCTGCTCCCAAACACAGGTTCCAGCTCCCCCTTTGCTGTCCACACCGAAGTCCCACTCAATTTCCACAAGTGTCGGCGCCAACGAAATTTCGGCAGAGTTTCCCCTTAGCGGAAGTCACATGCAACCTCCAGAACTCTACTTAGGCACGCCCACAGGCCATGGTGGGTCTAGGAGGGTCTTCAAACTTCAGTAGACTCTCCACAAAGTCCTTAATCAGCTCTGATACCACTTGCTAAAGACTAAGGACGGAGCCTATGAAGATTAAGGGACGAAATATCTCAAAATCATCAACTAAAATTCTGGACCGAAACATCCTCGTCACAAGAAACGTCGTCGACAAAAAACGCTCTGTTAGAATTCTCTCAAACTCAAGTATGCTGTAGCCCTTGACCGTGTTTATCGTTCCCAATTTGGATAGTATCAAAATATGGATTACAGCTTGAGTTATGAATTTCGGCGCACTCGGGGGTATGCTGCCATAGAAACTTAACTCAATCACAAAGTTGTCTCACAAGTTCACACAAGAAAGTTGGAGTAGCAATTGAACCAGGTAGGAGGGGATGAGGAGGACGAGAGGGAAGGTCCCAAGGGAGTCCCCAACCAAGGAAACCCCATACCACACAATTCCCCTCTCTATAGGCACCCCAACTTTGACATTTGTCACTTTCCCAACTCATGCCATCCACCTCACCCAACTTGGCCACACTTACCAACCTGGTTTGGCTTCTTCCAACCACTTGGCATCATCTACAGTGATGGTGTCGAGTTTCCCAACCCCCAAAAGTCTGTTCCCCATATTGAGTCAACCCGCAAATTCCCATAGTCGCCGCATCTCAATCAAAACTTCGAACGATCGTATCTTTCTCGTTCTTGCTCCGATCGTGGCGATTCTCGGTTCGTCGGAAAGCTCTCAAGCACAGGAGTCACTTCAGATATCTGCTCAAGGCAAATAACACTCACACACACTCAGAAAATCCAAAAAACACCAAACACAAATTCTTGCACACGCTCACACCACGCATGCAACACACGAGCATATGATGGGAGGCAGACAGACGTGAATGCAAATGATGGCATCACATAACACATAAAAATGGAGTCACGTTGCATGCGACAAGCAAGTCAGGGTGAGCGAAGGAATGGTGTCAGGGTGCACCTCCCTCAACACCAGCACTGTGCTTCTGCTGGCCAGGGCACAAAGATCCTAACAGGGTGGGTCAGGAGGGTGGAGGAATGGGAAGGTTTGAGGAGGAGGAGGGAGCAGAGGAGGGGGGGGGGGGGGATGAGAGGATAGAAAAGCAGTGTGCGTTGGATGAGTCAAGGGAAGAGGGGCAGGGCATCTGGATGCACCTCCCCGAACACAAGCACCATGCCGCTTCTTGCGAGCACACAGTCATCCTGAGTGGGTTTTGGCGGGGAGGGGGAGAGACCAAACTGGGGCGGGAACTGATTGTTGGTCGGGGGAGGGAAGGGACGAGCGGCAGGGCATAAGACTGCACCTCCCTCAGCAGCAGTATCGTGCTGCTGCTGGTGTGGGAAGAGGGGAGGCACATGTATGGATGGCATTGGCATGTACAAGGGGTTGAGGTTGGCGCAGGCGAGCAGGGATGGTGGTTCAGCGGTGATACTGGCAATGATGCCTGCCTTGGCCGCTGACACGGTCTATGGTGTCCCTAGACCCATACGTGCTATGGTGACAAGTAGGCGACATCGGAGTTATCGTGGTCAGCATCACCCTATGCTGGCTTCGGGCTTTGATTGCAACTGCTGCGCTGCTGTGCTGCGCCATTCAAGATCTCTCAGTGGGAAATACCTACCCATCCGTACCTGCTCTGGTGAGAAGTAGGCAGCATCGAAGTTGGCATCGTCAGCATCACCAGATGCGGCCAGCGGCTGTGATTGCGACCGCAGCGCTGCCCCTTTGTTGCGCGTGCGCCCGCCCTCCTCCTTGCGAATGTGAATGTAATCCAAATAGGTCTGGAATGAGAAGGGAAGAGGAGAGTGACAACTGTGCGAGAGGTAAGCAGTGGGAGGGAGGGATATAAGTGGGGAGAAGGAGGGTGATCATCGGGGGGAGAGAAGGGAGGGTGACAACTGTGCAAGATGGGATGCGTGGGCGATGTGGTGATGCACTCGTGACCTAGGAATGTGTAGATGCCGAAACGAAGCGAGGGCATAGCGAGAAATGCGGATCTCTTGAGGGTATACGTTGGACATACCATGCTATGCTGGCTAACCTGGTGGCGCCACGGGCAAGGGAGGGAATATAAGATTTGCCGACGTTTGTGCATCGTGCGAAAAGAACGGACGGTCCATGTGAGTAGTGCGACCATGGTGCGATAATAGAGTGTTTGGCATGAGGCTTGAGCTAGCTAGCTATTAGCGAGACAGCATGAGTGACTAGTAGTGTAAGAAAAAACGCACGCCTGAATAGAAACTTGCTCGCGGTTCCTAGTTACGTGAGGAATCTAGTAGACTATGCGTACAACTCGGTTCTCAAGTTATGTGAGCGGTGAACAGTGTCACTGGTGAGCGACGAGCAGTTCAGTTTTGCGATCGGGCACAAAAAACAATCAGGAGAGAGTGTCGCAAGAGGTTGTCCCTGGATCGCGAGAGTTCTCTCAAACCAAGTAGGGTTACCATGTTTTTGGCGAGTTCAAGTTCAAGAATCTCGAACTTGAAAAAATCCATGCTGTACTCGGGCTTTAAGCCTGAAGTTATTCGCATGCCTTCGAGAGACGATGCAACATTCTTTCAATGTCGACCAGAGCAGGCCCCATGTTATCAGGGCAAAACATCCTGATTACCCTAAAATCAGGATGCAATTTTGAATTTTCCCTATAATTTCAGAATGGTGTCAATTTTAACCATGTGGTCTCAGGATGTTGTTAAATGAAATGCCCTGGACATTCAGAATGGCCGTGGTGTTCTTCCCTGAATCAACAGGATGAATGTCGAGGCTTGCCCTGACGCGTTTTTATAGGGGTGGGGTGTGGGGGTGGGGGGGGGGGGGGGGGAGGGGAGGGGGAAGGGAAGGGGGGGAGGGAAGGGAGGGTGTTCCCGTTCCCGGGGATTTTTTTTTTCGCCGTGGAAAAAAATTCCCTTGTCTTTTTCCAGCCTTCACACGATTCCTTTGACAGTTCCAAACCCCCCCAGCGCACCAGCCAAACCCATCAGATTGGGAACAGGTTGGGCGAGGCAATACTCTTGTCTCCTTGTGTGCCATGCATGCACCCTTCCAGTGTTGCTGTTAGAGTAGCGGTTGTGTTCTCTCGTCTAGTCTGGTGGTGTTCTCTACCCTGGATTAGTTGGCAAGAGTAGGACAATGCTGGTGCCACTAGAAGTGTTAAAAACAGAACCCTGAACACTCGTATTTTTCCTCTAAAACTACAGGAAGCCTCTGAAAATTTGCCCTGACAAATCAGGGCATTTTTTCAGATTCTTGAAAGGTGCCCTGAGGCCCCTGGATGCCCCAGAACCTAGCACGGGCCCTGGACCAGAGTACTCTCATTTCAGAATTGCATTCAGTGTAAAAAAAAAAAAGGCTGAAAAATCTATGTTACAAAAAAAAAGCTGAAAATCAGTCAAATCAGGGTAGAAAGCCCAATATCTGGGGGCCTTATCGCTACATCCCGCTAAAGTGTGTGCGGTCCGCAAAAGAACGTGGCTCTAAATACCAAGAGTTGCAAGTGCATTTCAGTCACACGAGGCCCCTAGATTGGTTTTGGGGCATGCTGAAAAACCAGAGTCGTATCACATTATTGCGCTGAGAATCAGCCAAAAACAACCCAAAAAATATTATGGCACTAGAAATTTGCAGGGTTTTGTTTTGCAAGCTGAAAATTAAGCATTGGGACTGAAAAATGGCTGAATCGGCGTAAAAAGGCTGCAATCTGAGGGCCATGCTATTTTGCCAAAACTTGCACTGTTGTACTAGGCCGAGTAGACCAGCGCCTCGAGATTATCTCGAACCTCGATACCAGCACTGTATAGACTTGCTCGCAACATCTCACTACCGTCTGCGCTTTCGTCTTTTAGGGTATGTTCATGCATTTGCTCATGCACACCAGTTACAGTATCTCTTGACCTCTTGGTGCAACCTCGTTTCGCTTGTTCAGTTGAATTCGTAACGTTCGGTGTTCAGAGCCTTGTTCCTTTTCAGACCACCCTTCTCTTTCGCTACCAGCCCCTTTCAATTTTAACCTTACATTTTTTTATTTCACTCGAATGATGTCATGGAAGTTCACCGACCATGAGGGCGGAGTATGTTCAGAGACAGCGAAGGTTTATCGGCGTAAGGAAATATCACTTGGAGGGGGGGGATCCGACAATACTGGAGCAGCTTCAAGCGAGGGAAAGTGTGGAGGGGTGATACGGAGGGGTGCGCAGCGGTAGCAGGGGCTGCACTGTGCATACTTGTACTATACCGAGTTCCGAGCAGGGGTGTGCTTGAGCCTGAAGGGATGGGTGTGTGGTGTGCATGTTTATTTTGTGTGCTTGCAATGTTCCCTTCTGCAGGGAGGAAGCTACCAACGAGTACAAGGGCAACAAGTTCAACAGTTGGCAGAGGTTGTAAGGGAGCATGCGGGCCAGCTTGACAGCTGGTCAAATACCCCAACTGGAGCCCATGCAACTGCAAGCCGTCGTTGGCATGTACATAGCACTTGGTGGCGCGAGCCTCGTCTGAATGTGATGGCTGCTTGTCTTTTCCTGCTGAAGCACAGGTGCTAGGGTTTGTGTTCATCTTGTACATAGGCTTCATGAACACTAGCGGCAGGTACTTCGTTGTATGTTTTCTGCTTTCACAATGTAACCTCGTTAAACCAAACACGAGCATCATAGCATAGGCGGAAGCCGTAAGTCGGCAATACATGGGTTAGTGGGCAAGTGGGTGTTCCATCTCAGCTGCTTGAGGAGAGCAAGAGCGATCAAGAAAGAGAGACAGGAAGGCGAGCACCAGTACTCCTGGAAGAGCAGAGTGAGTCACAAGGCCCATGAGGGTGAGAGTCAGGAGGATGAGCAAGCCAGGGACCAGTGGGGCAAGGCGGTAGGAGAAGAAGGAGGCAAGGCAATGGGTTTTCCGACAATGAGAAGAGGCCCCTCACTGAACTATGATCAGCTGCCCTCGTTCTCTTACGCAAATTCATACAGTCATGACTGCGTACAGTTGCTATAAACCCGTTGCCCTTCGAAATGAGAGACCTCATAACCATCATGTAACAAAACTGCCGTAGGAGTGCCTGGATGTTGCTGCAGCAACTACACGATACGACACAGGTGGAGGACAAGGACGACGAGCACGACCAACAGTGCAAACAGGGGAGGCAGGACGAGACTCAGGCTCACGACGCTATGCCAAAGAGCCTGTCTGCGCAGGGTAAGGAGAAGGAGCAGGCAGTGGAGAGCCAGGTAATAACTGCGGCTGTGACTGGTCAGGCGAAGGACACAGTAGAGGTGGAGTAAGGCCAGTGGAAGACGGAAGACTAAGACCCTGGCGAAGTGCCGAGTCAGGGTGGCAGGGACGACTACGGCTGCAGGTAGAAACACGGTCGTCGCGGCGCGGTACCCGTACCAATAGTAGCTCAAGCACCCCCAGCTCCAGTACCTCCAGCACCAGCACCTCCAGTACCTCTAGCTCTAGCACCTCTAGCACCAGCAGCTCCAGTACCTCCAGCACCTCCAGCTCCAGCACCAGTAGCTCCAGTACCTCCAGCACCTCTAGTACCTCCAGCACCTCTAGCACCAGCAGCTCCAGTACCTCCAGCACCTCCAGCTCCAGCACCTCCAGCACCAGTAGCTCCAGTACCTCCAGCACCTCCAGCACCTCCAGAACCAGCGGCTCCAATACCTCCAGCACCTCCAGCTCCAGCAGCTCCAGTACCTCTAGCACCTCTAGCTCCAGCACCTACAGCACCAGTAGCTCCAGTACCTCCAGCACCAGCAGCACCTCCAGCTCTAGCAGCTCTAGTACCTCCAGCACCAGCAGCACCTCCAGCTCCAGCACCTAAGCGGCCTCGCCGAACAACCCGGTCGCGAAGCTGCTGCGGCCAGAGGGTCTCCTGTTGACGAGACTGCTGCTGCTGTCCATCACCAGAACCTCCAGCAGGAGCACCCACGACTCCACCACCAGTAGGACTCGCAGCACCCCCAGAATCAACACCCCCAAAACCAGCACCCCTAGAGTCTGCACCCCCAGTGTCACCACCCCTAGCAGCACCAGAGTCCACAGCGATAGGCTGCGGAGGAGGCGAAGCCGGTCAAGGTAGTAAACCTGGAGGGGTATCCAACCACAGGGAGCGGCGAGTGGCCGCCGTGTCATCAGCAGTGGGGTCACCCCCCTCTGCTGGGCTAGAGGTGTCAGAGGAGACCTCCAAAGGCTCAACAAAGGGGGGTGGGTCGACCTGAGACACACCTGAGGGAGCAGGACCCTGTCGGGGGAGGGGGTCTACCGGGGGTGGGCCTGGGACCAGGAAGAGGGGCGGCAGGGGGATGGGAGAAGACGCGTGCAGGTGGAGACGGTAGAAGCAGACCGACTTGTCAAAGGTGACGTCCTGTGAGGACAGGACGCGGAGCGAGGCAGGGTGGTAAAACAGCCAGGGTGGGGCGTCGGCAGGGAAGCCAAGGAAGACGCCGCGGAGAGTGCGAGGAGAGAGCTTGCTTGCGGTGTATCGCGGACAAGGGAGAGCGCGCCCCAGACCCGAAACGGTGACACATCGCCAACCTCCCCCGCCCAACGCAATGTAGGGAAGGTCTCTGGCACAGAGACACGAGGCCAGAGGTTGAGCTGATGCGCGGCGTATCGGACCGCAAACGGCCACAGAAAATGGGGAGCAGCCGCATGGATCATGGAGGTGCGAGCAACCTCCATGATCAAGCCAATGCAACGCTCGGCAATCCCATTTTGCTGTGGAGAGGCCAAAAGCATGAACGACTAGGCGATGCTCTCCATACGACAAAAGTCCTCAAGGAGGTGGGAGGAAAACTCACCGCCTCTGTCAGAGTGGAGTCGCAGGACCTGGAGGTCCTGCTGAAACCGCGCGCTCAGCTGGCGAGTAGTGTCTAACAACAACATCGAACAAAGTCTGGGCCGACGTCACCTCTCCAAATCGGTCCCTCTAGTTGACTGGTAGGAGAGCTCGGACGGCACGCTGTGCGACAGCGTCACGCTCCATCCACTGTCTGTAGGCAAGGCTGTCCGCCCGGTACCGTCTCTGCAC